CGCTCCCTCGTTTCGTTCGTTCGTTCGCTTGTTCGGTTGCTCGCTAGCTCGCTAGTTTACTCGCTCGTTCTTTTGTTCGTTTTTTTTTTTTTTTTTTTTTTTTTTTCTTTTTCTTTTTCTTTTTCTTTTGTAATTTTCGCGCGTTCGTTCGTTTGTTTGTGATTTGTTGCTTTCTTAATTCTGATAATTGTTTGTTTGCTTTTCCTTGTTTATTCGATTACTTTCGTTTAAAGAAGAGGAAGTTGAAAGCCGAGCTTACATAACTAGCGAGATAACGTAGCTACAGCCTCAGGCCCCCTTTCCCTAAAACTAAACCTTCCCTATAGTTTATTAATTATAATTCATTATTATTAATATATCTAAATATTATTTCTTTCAAGGGCGCCATTTTTGGCCCAAATGTTTATTCTAGCAAGGAATCCACAGCGTACTAACTTACTAACACCTGTGTTTCGAAACGTAGTACTCAGTAATAATGAATATCAATACGACACAGGAAGAAGGATACATGATTAAATATGCATTAAAAAAATGGATTTTGGGATTTGGCCGATGTTGGGCCGTGCACGAGATGTCGTAACAGAAACATGTTGTTTACAGAAAACCCCAACCCTAACCGCGACTTAATTTTTTTGATATGAATGTTTTTATTAAAAAGAGACTGTGGTTATCATTTTTATTTTGATTCACTCGTTTTTTCTAGTTAATTCGTTTTTCTAGTTCTTTCGCTTTTTTTTCTGTTGTGTGATGAATTTTTCACATGTTATTGCGTCCTCATCTTTAACGTTGTTAGAGGACGTTGTCAGGAAAAAATTGTACTTGACGTCACATATTCGCCATATCGTTAGACACAGATGTCAGAAAAACAAATGAATGTCTTTAATTAAACATGTACCAAACTACAGGTCTAGCTCCGCGCCAAATATAGAAATCAAAGAAAATTAGGATTCATTGAAATTTGTAGTAGCTAGAACTTCGAACGATTTCTGACTCTCTTTGCCGAAGTGATTTCATTTTGTTTTATGTTTGTGTGTATTTCTTTTTATGGTCAAAGATTACTTAATTCATAGTATCAGAATCGTTAAATATAATCTTCATCTGACAATTAGATATATTCAAGTCGACTTCGGAAAGATTCCAGTCACAAAGATCTATGACGAACTGGAGCATAATGTATTTGGCTTTGTTTCACCTACTTCGTCCCTTAACAGGCCTACAATGCAAAGCAATACAAACTCGAACCAGTTTCCCCCCATAACCTTGGAATGGCTCATTGAAACGACGTTTCCACGTATTGAAAATCTCAAAGCAAATTTCATTTGATGCTAACTAAGATAAGGAAAATCTTAAACGTATTGCTTAAATTTTAAATCTAGAGTAAAAAGATTTTTAAATATTTGGACAGCAATTCCTTGCCCCATTCAACAAAACTCTCTTGATACTGTATTCATAAAACTGAACTCCCGCGCAGAGAAACCCATCTCACAGCAGAGTAGGCGTTCATTTAGCTTCTCAAATTTCTTTTTGAAATAATTACCAAAAGCTAGTTCTCCTCTCTTTCATCAGAATAAACCCTCACGATTTTTTAAATTTAATTCGATCAGGAACTGAAGTCGAGCCCTGAATATTTCAAATGATTGTCCACAAAGGAAATATTTTTTATATCAATAAGTGTATATCTTGGGAAAGAAAAGTTAAATTATGCAGGAAAAAAGGACGGTTCTTTGTTGCTAAAATTATTGTAATAATACAACACTTGAAGGGTAAATAGTAATAATACAGTCTATATTTATTAGTGTACTCTGTGGTTTTTTGTAGACTACTATAAACTACCCTATATAGCCTAGGCGTCTATTCTATTAACATATGAATTATGTATCAAACATTTACAACAGTGAATATCTTGTCCGATGAATCAGTAAAAATATATTCATGAATCTGATGAAATAAGATAAAGAAAGGAAAGTTACGCTACTTAATAAAAAAACTAATTTTGCAATAACTTATTGGGAAACTATGATTTAACTAGAGACTTAAAATATTTTTTTGTGGTTTATAGTCAGGCAATATTCAACATATATCATAATTTTGACTTGTTTCAAGATAAAAATCACTCATAACGTAACTCTAACTTTTAAGAATGATTTTGTAAACGAGCATTGAAACTTCAAGAAATCTAAGTTCATTTCCTGTAGTATATTCACGAATGATATGTGGTACTTACTTACTGCGCTGAAGGAGTTTCTAAGCTCTTATAGCCACGACAGCCACTACAGTAGCTACTGAATAAAAATTGGAGATATCGCAACCAAAGAACGAAGTATATATTGTGCACTCGTCGTTTATCATAGGAAATCTGCTTGTGTGGTGTAGATGCACGATACCGCAATAGTGGAATACACGGCTATGTTGAATCTATTCTATTATTAGGACTGTAACAGACTTATTAAGATTTTTTTTCCTGTTTGTCACTCATGCGGATTCCAATCCCAATTGCGTCCAGGTGTGAGACGAAAACAGAAGTTGTGCGGTGAATTGTTGAAAAGTATTTTTACTAATGAATAAGTAACAAGAACAGTTTACTCGAAAAAATATCTTTTAAAAAATGAAGTTATCCGTCTTTCGAATATTTCGTTTGAATATTTTAATTTTCAACCGCGCCTTTCCTTTGTCGTTCTCCCCTTTTTCGTTTTCATTCATTCACACTTTTAAGTTATTCATTACCTTCTTCGTGGATATCCGAAAGAAAAACAAAAGTTTAATTAGAAATTGTCGCATGTTGCAAATCAGGGGACTTAAAAAAAGACATTCCCGACATTACTATTTCCTAATTTTAGTGATCACTTGACAAACATTTTCTTTTATTTATTCTAGATTCCGTTTCTCTAATATATCTAGAAAACTTTTCTCAAATGAAAGAAAATCGTAGCAAATGACAAACAAAAGTAGTGAATCGAGAAAAAACGCGAAAAAACGGAAAAAA